TGTCAATGTCTCCAACAAACAGTTCTGGGAGACAGTCATCTGGTTTCAGATCTCATCTCAATCTCAACTTTTATCCAACCAATACATCTCCCATAACATCGCCAACAGTGGGATCAACGAAGTCAGTGAATCAGTCCAGAGATGACATGAGTCCATATATACCGATGAGTCCCGTCGGCTCTGTTGAGACCGAAAGTCTAAACTCGAGCCGTCGATCCAGTGGTTTAGATAAGCATTTAAATACTGAGACTTCTTCAGACTATATACCAATGATGTCGAGTCAAGAGATTAAGTCAATGACTAGTGAAGAATACCTAAATATGGCACCACTTTCCGAATCATTGCCCAAAATAGACGGCTCTTTACATCACAACAGTCTAATCAAAGAGGAGTTCCATTTGGAAAAAGTGAAATCGTATTTCTCTCCGTCGGATCAAAACGATTCGATGGATTACATGCCTCCACCCGTTCGCGCCTACAGTATCGGTAGTCGACCTCAACTCCAACACAAACCCTTCATGAAAGTGAGTTCACTATCGAAACAGTTGTTATCCAAATCTGGGACTCAAACACCAGAAGAAGAGGAAACACGAATTCGAGCCTTTTCTATGGGAAGTCATTCAAACACACGGGAGATGAGAGTCGCGGCTAAGAAGCAGGCGATGATTGAGGCACAGATCGGCGGTCCCACCGCTCCCATAGAGGAAGTGACTCGCAATTCAAACAAGTCGTCGAGTGCTCCCATCCTATCCCCGGCTCAGCCCCGAAAGCGCAGCGCAACCGTCGGCTGTCGACCCGTTATCAACAAATCTACGCTCAATACAGACAGGAGTGACACCGACTTAATGGAAATCGATTACTCAAAGTCTATTCAATCCAAACAACTTAAGGATAGGCTCGAAGACAGGATTAAGCGCTCGTCCATTGGCCACAGACAGCGTTCTAACTCACGCTCTTCAACGTCCTCATCGGGAATCGGGTCCGGAAGTACGACATCGCCGTCAATCACTTCATCGATGAGCGAATTGACCGATAAAAAGCGTGAAATGCTGTCAACATATGAAGCGAATGCGAGCGCCGGAAGCACTCGAGCTCTGCATTTGGCGGCCAAAGACGGAAATACTGAATACTTACACGTTTTGACAACAAATCCAAATCAAGAAACAAAACTGCCCTCAAGTCACAGACCAACTGCAGGCCAACCAGTTTCACACCAGAACCCAACAGTTCCTCCATTTTCTTCATTACATTCTTCTGTGTATTTACCGCAAAGTCATAGCAAATCATTGCCAACAAATCAGACAAATATCACAAAAAGCGAATCATTTGCTCAAAAAATTAATGAATCCGAAGAAATGAATGAATCAAAACCAAGGAAGAAGTTGAACGACGACAACGATTGCGGAGATTATGTCTGTTTAGACATGAGATCGACTTCACATGTGCCTCAAAATACTGTCAAACCATCACAAGTATTAGAAGACATGTCATCACCGATTGAGAACCAAAGTGTGCCAAACAATGAGTCGTTCGACAAATCCAATGATTTTGTTTCCATCAATCGATTCAAAACTATTCCACAAAACAATCAAAATATAACTAACAATATCGCAGACATAGGTGTGGCCACTGAACCGCTTCCAGTAGTTGCCAACACTGACAGTGAGCATCAAACGGGTGACCAAACACTAGGTCTCAGGAATGCAGACAAACATAGTTTACACACAAAGAAATGTACGACAAATCACTTGACTATCACTCCAAACGAATCGATAGTAACGACAAGTGTTGTCGACAAATGCAGTCCAGAAAACATGTCGTTGGGCTCCACTTCCCGGCGGTCGTCCTCTTCGTCGGAGAAGGAGCTCAACTATGCGTCACTTGATTTGGCGCCCGTCTCTTCGGCCATCACTAGCCCTCTCAATGGTGCGCCCATAGACTCAATGGTAGACGAGTACACGACTAAGTGTTTGCCAAACAAATGTGGGCCACAATTGACAGTGAGTTGTGTGTCGACCGCAACGACCACCTCATCGTCGTGTTCGACGCCAACACCGATGGCAGCGATGATGACGTGTTGTGGAAGTGAAGAACTCATCTTCAATGGTAGCGATGATTCCAATCCATTATCGTATGCGAAGATCGACTTCAGTATTGCCAATAAAAAGATCGCAAAGTCATAGATGTGTTGATGAAAGTGAGGCCAAAAACGAGTGGAACCGGTGTCTAGTCTTTGAAGAACTTGCGCTCATTTAATCGATTTTAACCACTTTTTCATTTATTGATAGATTTTATTATCTGTTATTAAGACTCGAATTGTTATCCAAAAAATAAACTTGTTTTTTGGGAATGCATTCAGTCATTGAGTTTCTATATTAAGTCAATTCAGAGAAATATATTATTTCATTGTTATAACAATTATTGTTAATTACATTTCAAATCAATTGTATATAAATTTATACATAACTATACTCTAAGTATTTGTAATCTATTTATATAAATATCAATAAAACTGTTTTACTTTTCATTTACAAAAACAAATACACAAAATATTTCAAATAATGTATCGATTGATGAATCCTTTGGTTTTGTTTAATAAAAATATGGATTTTATTTCATTTCAATTTGTCATAAATGGTTGACTGCATGACAAACACAGCGCTCATCACACTTACCGCTAATCATCGCTATTGCGGACAGATGTGATCATTAGGTTCAACCAATCAGGCAATTGTGTCACAACTATCTGTATAATCGCTTTTTGGTCACAAAGAATGTGAGCGAAGATATGAGACAAACCCAGAGAGGAATGAATGTGACATAAAGTGGCAAATGTTTCATATATTCAAGTCTTGAACACAACAGCACTTCAAACGCCAATTTGGATAAAACACATGTCAGACAATACAGACGTTTACTCAGTCCTCGCGAAGACATGGAATCAGAGAGAATGGATCTCGAGTTGGGTCTCGAGTTACGGATCCATTTCATGGCAACCATTACTGTCATCACAACATCCAAGACATACATCGGAGTGAAGATCACAAACCAATTCCTAATACATGATAACAATGATTGTCAACATTTGCATCACATCCACAGTTCATACAAACCATTCAGACTTGTTGTCCACTTTCAGTGCAATCAACACAACCAGTAATGCAAACGACAGGAGAGTAAACAGTGATCTGTGAATTACACTCATTGTCACCAACAGCTGATCCAATCATGCATTCAATTGTGTTTGTAATCAACACTTAATTGTCGTTCACTTCAAAACATTAAATGTTTTGTCAAAATGTTTACAAAAATAACGTTTGAAAGCATTTCTCGACTACGGTTGAAAAAATTCCCGGAATATAATAAATATTCCCAATTGGGAATATTCCCAGTGGGAATATTCCCGGAACGTTCCCACCCAAAAAGCTCACTCACCAGATGGCGCCAGTAGTAAAGTGTGTCGACATGTCCACTTTCAGTGCAATCAACACAACCAGTAATGCAAACGACAGGAGAGTAAACAGTGATCTGTGAATTACACTCATTGTCACCAACAGCTGATCCAATCATGCATTCAATTGTGTTTGTAATCAGATTTCGTATGGGGTCTTCCACTAGTGTTTTGTCATGCGCGAAATTTAGTACTGTTTATACTACACTGCTACTGGGGGTTACATTGGGGGTTCAATTCTGCCCCCAATTTTAGGGGCAAGCAGTAGTATAAACAGTACTAAATTTCGCGCATGACAAAACACTAGTGGAAGACCCCATACGAAATCTGTTTGTAATCAACACTTAATTGTCGTTCACTTCAAGTCTTCAAAACATTTAATGTTTTGTCAAAATGTTTCCAAAAATAACGTTTGAAAGCATTTCTCGACACAAATGTTGTGTGAATTGAATGACAACAAGAAGTGAAGGCAAGAGAAGTGACCACAAGAGTAGAAGAATGGCAGAGAATATCTTCCTCTTTGTTCCCAATGTGATTGGTTTCGCACGAGTGGTGTTGGCGTTGATGTCCTTTTATGTGATGTCTTCGCGCTATGTCTTAGCGACCGTATTGTACGGCAGTTCCGCTCTATTGGACGCCTTCGACGGTATGGCCGCCCGAAGACTCAACCAATCGACCAAATTTGGGGCCGTTTTGGACCAATTGACTGATCGTTGCGCCACAATGTGTCTCATTATGGTAGGACACGACCCATCACTTGATCCATCACTAAACCACTGCTCTTTCAAATTAATTGTTACTAAATTAGTCAATCTTTTTAGAAGTGATTTAATAACTAATTTAGTATAAAATACAAAACAAATGCTTTCAATAATAACTAATCCATTGTTTTCTTAATTTTTGCCCACATTTTGTTTGTCTCTCAGGTTTTGTCGACTTTTTATCCAAAATATATGTTTTTATTTCAATTGTCGCTAATTATAGACATCGCCGGCCATTGGATTCACAGTCAGACGAGTCTAATGTTAGGCAAAACGAGCCATAAGTCCATCGATTTAAACGAGAATCCGATTATGCGTTTGTATTACACATCAAGACCTCTACTCTTCTTCATGTGTGCGGGAAATGAGTTGTTTTATTCATCTCTTTATTTCCTTCACTTCACAAACGGACCCTTCGGTGAGTGGTTGACACCAAACGACAATTGATGGCTAAATAATGTTATAAATTACAGTTACGATACTTAACATACATTTGATACCACTGTTGGCGTGGGTTTCGGCGCCCATCGCTGTAGTCAAGGCGTTGATCAGTTGTTTGCATGCATTCATTGCAGCCATCAATCTGTCAATCATTGATGTGAACGAAAGACAATCGGCGGCACAAATAAGTGCCAAAAAAGATTAATCAATGAATCAATATTTTGGTCTAAAATTTATATTTTTATTTATTGTGCCAAAGAGTTGAATGGTTTGGTTTGTAATCTAATCTATAATTTAAGTTTTAGTTTAGTTGAGCCGTCAGTTTTGGCAATTTATCCTATTTTAACAGAAAGTCATTTAAATTCAGTTGAATTTCAACGAAGATATAAATTATTATCAAAAATGATTAATAAATACAGTAATAAATACTTGAATTAGTAATAGAAATGCAGTAAATTGTAGTCAAATATATATACAATCATAAAAATGTAACTTAAGTTATATTAAAGTTAAATGTTTTGTGTGTAATAACATTGGAAATAATGTTTAATGAGTATTACATTAATTATAATATGATTATAAGTAAAAACAACAGATAATAGGATTTAAAGGAATGATTGCTTTCAAAGAATTAACGAATGACTAGATTTTGAGGAAACAAATCAAAATTATTGCATAGTTTGTAATGCTTTTAAAATCACTAATTGTAAGAATAAATGTTTTAACGATTACTACATAATAAGTGAAATCAATTTAGTAGACGAACATAACTGAGAGGAAACAATCCCCGTCTATGGGGTTGTCCTTCAATTATGCCTTCCATCCAATCCTGATCTGCGGTCACGTCATTGATCTCAACGATGATCTCTCCCTCTTTGAACGCTAACTCGTCCTCTCTGTCCGGTTCGCAGTCATAGCGCGCTTCCCATCGTCTTTGCCGTAAGCCATCATTTCTCTAATCAAAACCATTGCAAATCAGTTATACTGTAAATGTAATCAATGAATGGCATACCTTTCGTGGCGGAGGAACTGGCATTGGATGCGAACGATTGCCACAGTTTTCCAGTTCGGACAACAAAGAAGGCAAGCTTTCTATCGACTGTCCATTACTTAGTCTATTGGTTTGAGGTGTGGGTGGGGGCGGACACCGCGGTCTGTGAATACTGGCGAACACTTGAGGACTTTTATTGTCGGTAACGAATACGGAAACTGATTGTGGGTTTGTTTTGATGTGTGAAATGGATTTGTTTTCATATGTGTTGTTATCATTAGAGTAATCGACCGAACAGTTTCGCCAATGATTTTGTGCCACAGATTTGAATATTATTCCTGAATCGGAAGAAGTTCTGTTGTGATCTTTGGCTAAAGTACTGCTATTACTGCCATTACTGCCACTGCTGTCATCGTCTTTAAGAGGAGGAACGGGTGCCGAACGCTTCTTAACACTATTCCTGAATTGAGCGTTCATTGCGTTCGGAGTTTTCATGTTTGGGTGTTTGAAGCTATCGCTTGATTTACTTGAAGGCGATTCGCTTCCGACAACACTCGACGGTCGCGAACGCCTCTCCATTGGCATCGGATGCGAATGACTTCCCGTTTGCTATCATTCAAACCATTCGTACAATCATTACAATTAACACATTGAAAATATAATCTAAAGAAACTTTCTTAAGGAGGGGGAGAGAGAAAGAAAGAAAGAAAGAAAGAAAGAAAGAGAGAGAGAGAGAGAGAGAGAGAGCAGTACCGGAACAAATGGTAAGCGTTCGTAAGAATATAAATGTCTATAATCTTCAGAAGACATGTAACGCTTATATATGGGGCGCGAATGTTGGCCACCGTTAGTATACTGATTGTTACCATTTAATAACCAATCAGATGAATGAATTCCAGGTTTAATTAACTAATAGTTGCATCGATAGTGAAATGTATAGAAAATAATTGAAATTGAAATGAGTTGTAAAGAAAAGTACTGTAACGAGGAATCAGATAATGCATTCAAACTTTGATTGCCTGCAAAACGCATATTAATATACCTAAAGTAACTCTAATGTAATTTGATAAGACATTTACTTCTTACCGACACACATAACACACTACAAGTAATTTCATTAGGCACTAGGCTTTACGATAGCAATGTATGGTTTGTCGGTATGAAAGTTAAGTCAAATATTGTCTAACGTTACGAGAATTTAGATAAAGAATTTGCAGAAAATCAAGAGTTAAAGCAATCATCTGATAGATCGCAAGTGTCAACAGAAGTGGGTTTTAGTGATTGTCTGCAATACTGTACACACATTTGTGCAAAACCTATCCAAGTTTGCAGGCATTCTTCATAACCCAATTCATGTACAATATATGCTTTCAAGTGATAAAGAATTACAGAATTACCTTATCATCGGCGATGTCCTCATCACTAAAATCAGTCGATGGGTCTTCAGAGGGATGTAAACTTGTATCCAGACATACATTTTCAAACAAACTTTTCTTATTGAGAGCCGCACTCTCCAACTGTAATGAGATTAGAGGTTAATTACACGCAAAACATTCAATTCAAGTTTAGTTAACAATACCAGTTCTATAAGCCGATGGTTCTGGCGATCTTTGGCCAAATCAAGTGGTGTTTTGTGTTCACTATTCTTAATAGTGATGTCAGCATTGGATCGAAGCAAGAGTTTCATGCATTCACTCTTATCATAGAGAACACAGTAATGGAGACCTGTATTGCCGTCTCTGTCCACACAATTCAGATTTAAACTGTTCTGAATGAGAAAATCAACGATATGTAGAGACATGCCGTCCTCCTGAGCGATGGCGTAGTGAAGACTTGTCTCCTGATTGGTGCTGACGGGCAAAACACAGGTAAGGTCTGCTCCCTCTGCGAATGCCTGCAAGAGTTGATGCAAATGACGCGAAAAGACAGCGTCTTCGAGCTCTGAACGAAGTTCTGTCTCATCACTACACGATCTGATTATATATTTCTTGTCCTTATATTTTGTGCGAATGAATTCGTTTCGCATATCCATAGAACTGGTGGCCGTCGGCTTCAGAGTCGGGTTAAGCGTCGCTTCCATTATATCGTTGAAACCCGTATTACTCATCATTCGCGCCAAAAGCAGTTGAGAGGTCCCGATGTTGTCCAGAGTGAGCGATTGGATTCGGGAGACATGGACTCCCATTTCCCGGTGTATTCCCGAACACTCAATACACTAAACAAGTCATTTCAAAATAACTAAATTGGGTTAAGAGTAGAGATAATAATAAAAGTGAACAAACAGTGAGAACTCCGAAGTTGGTGGAGAGCCAGGTCGGGTCTTTGGCAGAATTACAATCAACGCAACGGTCATTACCGGGAAGTCTCTGCACTTCATGGATAATAGATTGTTGTAATTCTCTAAGACTTTGGTTTTCATAACTTTGACAGTTTTGGTCGTTTAAAGCTAACGATTGGTTATTATTATCGAATTCTTTCTTAAGAGCGCCTTCTTTGCAATTGACGAGAACTGAAGTCCAGGCCTCGGTCTCCGTCTCGTCTTCGGTCTGGAAGTGATACGTCCTGTTATACGATATCAAATCGAATGACTTCTTGTCGTCGGGAACCGCTTTGATTTGAACGGTTAAGAGATTGAGTTTTGTCGGAGACTTGGATTCGTCCGAATGATAGATGTAAAGGAAGCCGTCCCTGACCTCACATTTGCGCTTTTGCCACACTTTGACCCGCATTTTGCCCTCAGATTTCTTAAGTAAATGTCCAGCTTTTGAGAAGCCATACGTCTTATTGCCCTGCATTTGATGCAAACTATAACCCATGAGATTAGAGCTGTCTTTGCGTTCATGAGTGGACGCATTACTGGTCGTCGAGTTTTGCTCTTTTAAATTGTCGCCCAAATTAGACGAACTTTTTAAAAGAGTCCGCAATTCTAACAAATTTTTTCGTTCGCTTTCCTGTTTGAGACGAATTTTCTGCAATTTAGTCGACAAATCATTGATATATCCATTAAAGTGTTCAATGGTTTTGAGTCCATCTCTAAAATAATTGGTCTGAGAGTTGTAGTACTCGACCAAATGCTCGAGCAGTTCGACCCCTTTTTTGGTTTTGATTTCATTAACTTTGATCAGGTATTCGCACATTTGTAACTGAAACAACTTCCTCTCTCTGTCCATCTCCTCCGCGATCTCTGCGCCACTGATCTCAGTGCGTATGAGTCCGGCCTCTTTCGCCTGAGCCTTCTTCTCCTTCTCGATTTTGGTCATCTTCGAGTCGTAGTCCTTCCACGCCTTCTCGAACGGCTTCTTGATGTCGCCCTTCACTCCTTTCAGCTCACCTTTCAGTACGTTATCCAATGGAAACATCACTATATTGTGCAGGTTTTGCATCTGCAATACAACCATACATTAGATTATACCCCAAAATTGCATCCATTACCCGCACCCATGTATAGCCCTCATCTCAACAATTATTCTACATGTAGTAAGTAATACATAACCCATTGATAAGCCGCACATATGAATTTCCAACAATTTCACTTTTTTCAATAGATAACTCGTGGGTAATGCACGCAATTTTAGGCTATATTGCATTAGTTAAACACTTAAGTGTTTAATCAAATTTGATTCAAATTGCATGTTTGTTTGTGTGTTTCATGCATTTAATAATCTATGTAAGGCTTTAGGAATGCTATCTTTAAAGCAGCTATAGTTGACTTCATCGATGATTTACTCTATCATTAGGTGTTTATAATAAATTAATTGAAATGTTTACATAAATAACTCTTATATTATATACCGTTAATTCAAATAACTTTATAATATTCTTGTATACTGTAATATCACTTGTATATACTATAAAAATGCTTTTAGTCATTGCTATGCAAAAAATATTTGCCCTAAAGTTAAATCATTAACATTTTGATGAAATTTTATTGAATATAATTTACAGTAGACTTAAAACTATATTTCCCCGTAAAATGAATTTCCCGTGTATTCCCTGTCCTTCCCGAGGGAAGAAAAATGAAATTAATTAAACAGGGAAAGGACGGTATTCCCTTAACATTTCCTCTAATCACTACAATAAAGTGTGTAACAATTGTTTGAAACAATAGCTTAAAATAAATGTTGTATACAGTATACTAAACAAGTACAATAGTGTACAGTCTGTCCCATATATTATGTCTTTATTCTATGACAGAAAATGTGATAGAAAACACGGGACATATATCTGGTACAGACTGTATATTAATTATGAATTTGATGTACATATACCGATAAATAGAAGTCATAAAATATTGTGCAAGACTTTAGACAGTATTTTTAATGATCTTTTCCTAAATACTTCATTATTGAAACCACGAATAATAGTGAACACAAGTCTTAAAAGTTTTTTAAAATGTTGTCAATATATCACAAATCGATAAATAAAGTTAATATCTATTGAAAAAATTACAATCCCTTTGGTTTCCCTTACAATCCCTGTTGTGATTACAATTTAGAAAAGTTGTGAGTCTAGTATATAATAGCTTATAAAGTGAATGAACATAACGTAATGTAAAATTAAATGTTTTTCAGTGCAAAACACGAATCGATTATTAGAGAGGAAAGGAAGCAATAATTTGCAAAACCCCTTAGAGTTTGCAAAATAT